CAATAACCTTGCATCACTGGGATAAAGCCTACTTAGTCAGATATAACTACATGCTGGTTTCAGTTACTTAATTGAATATTTTTATATAAATATGTATAAGAAGTCTGATTTTAAGTCCCGTTTTCTTGTGAAAGTTCTGCCTGGTTTATGGCAATGACCTCACAAGAGACCAAGTTCACTTTCCCTCCTGGTTTTGGGAGCTTGTGAAAGTCTGGCATCACTTCTTGTTTAAATATTTGTAGATATCCTCAATGAAGCAGTGTGTACCTGACCCTGGTAGAAGATCCTTGCTGTGGTTACCCTAACTGCTAATTCAGGTCCTTCTTAGGTGTTTATTCAGACCATCCCTACCTTCCTGAGTAAATTTCACTACCTTATGTCTTTCTACTGAATAGATTATTGATTCTCTAAGTGGGGTAAAAATGTATCCATTGAAAAACAGCTAGCTTTCCAGGCAAGTTGGACTAAACTTGGAATGCTTCTATGGTCCACATTTGACTGACAAGAGCAGAAACCAACAACTTCAGGTACAAGGCTGAGGAATAAACTTCACACACGGTGAAAAGTGAGCTGACAGGTTTCATCACATTAGCTGCAGTTTTAACTCAACAATGAACAAAGCAGTATGTGTCAGAAGTAAAAATATTTTGTGAAACGACGTTTCCTCAGTTGTAGAGTTGGATTTAAGCACTTTTTCAATGGTGATTTCTTCCTGAAAAACCAATTATTCATGAAATGTGGACCTATGTAAGAGAAATGTGAGAGGCACAAGTCATGTGGGGAAAAATTCATACAGGTTCCTCACCACGTGGTGGGAGTCACCCTCATGAGCACAGTGGAGGTTGAACATACTGTAAATAAAAAGTGCATCTAACAGACCTAACCCAGTCATCATCACAGCTCAGCAACCACAGGTGCCACAAAGCAGCTGACATTCCCCTGGTGATCATGTAGTGGTCCGGGAGCTACGGCAGTGACTGCTGCTGCGTGAGACGTCACTGGCGAATACTGCACTGTGTGTTACTAGCCCCAGGAGATTAAAATTTAAAAGTCCTAGAATGGTTTCTAATAAAGGTATTGGTTTCTTGCCTTTGTAAAGTTGGAAGTTTGTAAGTAAGCCATTAAAATTTTGGGACCGTGCGTAGACAAATATAAGTTTGAGACAACTTCTGGCAAAGGGTAAACAGTGCAGTCCTGCATCATGGCTCAGTGGTTAGAAGCACAAGCCTGACAACCTGAATTCAATCACTTGAGTCCATGGTTGAAAGACAGCAATTATTTGGGAAAGCTGTCTCCTGATGTCCAATGTGTGTTGTGACACACACCCACCTGCATCACACATATACATCATACTTATGTGTGAACACAGAGGCATCATACACACAACACATACCACACATACACACCCATACATGAATCATATACATGCACACAATGTACACACAGACACAGGCATCCACACCACATACACATATCATTCATGCACCATACATATACACAAATCATACAAATGCACACACTCATCATGCACATTCTCACCACACACATATCATACACACATATACCCACACTAATACTAGTAGATAAAAGAGAAAAATTATCATGAGGTTCATGCTCTCAGGATATATAATAACTGATTTAAAATGGTTATGTTTGGAATAAACTTGGTTCAAAATAAAATTAAAATTCCACTGAGTCTTCCCTCTTAAATATTTGGTAAATGAGTTACTAACATCCATACAAGAATTATTATACATAAATCCCACTCCATGAATTAAATGTAAAAGTGTTAATGAGTGACTCTTAACAGTGTATAACTGAGTAAAATGACTCTGTATAAGGCACGGGTACTGCTGAGTTACATTTTATGAGTGAGTTCACACAGAAATACTGCAAAATGAGAATTACAATCAGAAACACCTCACAAGTGGCGGTGTTTCAGGGAAAGAACAAACTGACAAATGAGGTGTGCGTGTCCAACAGCTCAACTCCTGCTGAAATTAGTGTTCTTTTAAAATAAACGTGAAACGATCAAATATTTCAACATTTAACCAACCCATTCTTCATTTTTGTTATATTTTTCATGTTTTTATATATCTCGTCTACTGTGAAATGTCAAAAATAAAAGCATAAATTATAACTCATATAATAATTAAAATTAATGTAATAATTGTTATATCAATTTTTCATGAAAACCATCGAGATAAAAGATCTAGCCCTCCGGTAACGGCTTTACCAGGAAGTGGCGCTCGGACTCACCGTTTGACGCTGTGAAATCAATGGCCACTGTGAAGTTGATCTGCGTTCTAGAACACAGCAAATGAGAAGAAGAATGAAGTAACTGCCCGAGGCAATTCCCACTCATGGTTCCACTGTCACTAATTTTCTTAAATGTTAGCTATGAATAAATATGTTATACTATATGTTGGATAGCATTAAACAGGAGGTTTACTAGGTAAGAAAATGTCTGTTGCATAAACTTAGCTTAGCCTTGAAGCATAGAAACGAAGTGAGAGGCTCCCAATGGGGAATGCAGTAAAAATTGTCAGTCTCAAACACCAGCGCTTACCAATAATCTGCTTGCAAACTCATCCATGAGAGGACTACACAGCACTGTGCCACAGCTAAACACGTGTCTTCGACTAATTTTCAACAGTTCTGAAGCTAGGATTCTCCTTTCTTTTTCTCAGGGATGAAGTAGTAAGTGGCGTTCTATATCAAACTGCTCATGAAGTGCCTCTGTGTGCTTATCAGTTGTTGGTAAATATAGCAATTGCAGAAATGTATATATATTTCAATTTTTCAGCACTTAGTCAATACACAAATTCATATTACTTGGTTATCTTTTTTTCTTTTAAATGGGTTAGTTCTCTCCTCCTCCTCCTCCTATTCCTCCACCTCCTCTTCCTCCACCTCCTCTTCCTCCTCCTGTTCTGTTAGAAACAAAATAGGTTGCATTTACCCAAGAAATTCACTTATTTGTGTACTCACGCCTATTTCTATGTGTAATACCTTCTTTTTTTCCAAAAGACATAAAAACCATAAGTGGCAGCAACCTGTAATCATGACTGTAAATTTTTCCTTTCTTACATAATTTAAATAGCACTTCATTAAAAATGAAAAGTAATTCTGAACTTTAGCAACACAGGCTAGCAAATTTTAAAGACTTAGCAAAAAATAATCTTGACAAATCTTATATGGTATTCAGTGATTAAATCAAATTCACACTTTTCCCAAGGAACAAACAACCTTTTGTATTTATATTTATCAAAAACTGAATGTAGATTCCTTTTAAATTTATGTGGTAACTTTTTAGTTCAGGTAGAAATTGGGTTTATAGACCAAGAATATAGGCTAACTTGGAGCTTCATGAATTCAAATGAGTACAACCTTTCAGAAAAAAGAATGAGGTGAGGCATTGGAGAGAGCATTTCCAGATAAACCCCTAGAGGGATGGAGCAGAACAGCCATGGCATCATGCTGTGCCATTCTGCATAGCTGCAAACGCTGTGATTCAGGGCACCATGGTGATGTCAATGGGTTTGACTCTTAGCCACCTACTTGGTGATCATGGCCACTTTTGATACTCATCTGAGGGCAGGCACATAGAACAGCAGGAGAATCAAAAGAAACTATGAAATATTGTACATGCGAAATGTTTTATATGGGTAACATAGACACTAAATAAACACATACATGATGTGTGGTTGTGGGGGTGCTACGGTTAATTTCATATAATTTGGTAAGGACAGCACTGTGTTTTTAAAATATATTTTACACATAAGGAAATTGATGCTCACAAAACTCAGTAATTTTCTACACCAACAGTAACTGCCAGCACTGAACTATGAATTAATATTTATAGTCCTCACCTTCAGCACCATCTCTAGTTAATATCGCCAGCCTGCCTGGCTGTATTAGGGAGGCATAAAGGACAGTGATAATTTTATTCTAAATATGGTAAAAAAATGTCGCACAGATGTCCTTAATGACAAAGATAGCAGAACATTATCTTCTGCATATGCAAATCTGTCCTTCTATCAAGAGTGCTATCAAAAACTTGGTCATGAAGTGTCTATCCGCATGTCTGTTTTCCTTGTTTTATTAAAATAGAACCTCATTAAGAAGGAAAAGTAACTGGAGCCTTAAGAACACACTTTAGCATATTTTTTTCACAGCAAATTAGAATGGCAAGTTTTAATCAACCTCCCTGGGATGGTTTGAATGAGAATTTCCCACATAGGTACAAGTATCTGAACACTTGGTCAGCTGGTGGAGCTCCTTGGGGAAGGTCCTGGAATCTCTAGGAAGTGTGGCCTTGCTGGATTGCAGGAGGAAGTATGTCACTGGGGGTAGGTTGTGAGACTTTATAGCCTTATCCTCATTCCAGCTCTCTCTCTCTCTCTCTCTCTCTCTCTCTCTCTCTCTCTCTCTCTCTCGTTTGCCTTTGGAGATATAAGCTCTCACCTTTAGGATCCTGCCATGCCTCCCAGCCATGATGGGCTCTTAACCCCCTGGAACTGTAAGCCCAAATAAACTTTTCCTTTTATAAGTTGTCTTTATCATAACAACAGAAAAGTAACTAATATAGTACCCTGGAATGTGAAGACAGGTACCTCGTGTTACTTCCCCTGCTTGCTTTCCCCCCCTCCATCCCTCCCTCCCTCCCTTCCTCCCTCTCTTTCTTTTCCTGTTGTATGCCAGGCAGGGACCAGAGATATACTCACCCATTCATGTGCTTGTGGAGACAAGAGGCTGGTGTCAGATGTGTTCCTCAATTGCCTTCCACCTTAAATTTTGAGACTGTCTCTCACTGGACCTGCAGCTCACCCTCTTTTAACTCTACTGGTGGGCAGCAAGTCCCTGGAACCTGCCTCCATCAGTCCCCCAGTGCTGGAGTTACAAGAGTGTGCTGCCAAACATGGCTGTTTTGCTCAGGTGCTGGGGATCTATCTGAACTCAGATCCTCCTGCTTGTACAGCAAAAACTTTACTCCCTGAGCCATCTCACCAGCCCTCCAACTCTTTCATATAACATTCTGCACATTGGAATCTCACTGTATTTTCCTAAGTTCATGAATACTTAAATTCTGTGGCTGTGCCTAATTTGTTCTCTGAAACAACACAGTGCATATCACTTAACCAACAGTTTCTTAAAACTATTTCTTTCAGAAGAAAGACTTTAGTCATAGCAACAAATGCCCTACAAAGAAAAGCTATGACTATTAGCTAAAGAAATACATGGCACATATGAACAAAGATAGAAAGAGGCAATATTTAAAGCTAAGCTAATGTACCAAATCTTTAAATAACTAAACAGAATTATAAAACCAAGTGGCATACATACAAAAATTAATCATGTTTACAAAACTAAGAGAAAGAAATAGAGAAAGGAGAAAGAGAAAAAGGACGGTGGTGGAAAGGAGGGAGGGAAGGAGGGAGGGGGAATGAGGGAGTTTTTCTCTTTGTGCTCATGGTTATCCATTTCATTAGAGAACATTTCTAATTTAATTAGGTGGCCCCTGTGATGGCTACTTTTTCACTGAATAGCCTCAGTGGATCACTGTTAGGTTTTTATTATATTTTTACATTTATTCAGTGTGTGTGTGTGTGTGTGTGTGTGTGTGTGTGCGCGCGCATGTGGAGTCC